ATGTTACGCTGTCTTGAATCTAGGTCCTTATTTATGTTTTGCTCAGTTGATCTTTAATGAACAGAATTAATTTTTTAATAAATTTATCCAGCTTTATTGAGATATAATTGATGTAAAACATTTTAAGTTGTACAATATGATGGTTTGTTACATGTATATATTGTGAAATGATTATCACAAATAAGGTTAGGTAACAGATCCATCACCTCACGTAATTAAAAATTTAGAGAGATGAATTTTAAAGTCCTCTACTATTTATATGTGTGTATGTGTGTGTATATAAATCTATTTTTAATTGTATCTTATTTCTTGGGGGGTTAGAACATTTTTTTATTTTAATATACTTTCAAACTTCAAAGATGGCAAGAATAATACATATAACTTCCATCTGTCTTTTACCCAGATCACCTGTTCACGGATTTTTTACATTTTGCCCCATTTGCTCTATCATTTGTTTATGTGTGAGCTCATTATCATTTCTTCTTGTGTATGTTCATGCTGTCTTTTGCTCTTTCTCTCTCTCTCTAGCTTCCTCCTTCTCTATCTTATAGAATTGTGAGATACTTAGTGGGTGTTTTAATCTGTTAAATTTATGGCAACTTCTTGCACAATAGCAGACTAATAAGGACAATAAAATTAATAATCCATGAGTCAAATGAGAAATCACAGTGGAAACTAGAAGTGTACCAGGTTAGAAAAAAATGAATGAAATCTTTTAAATTGAAAATGAAATAATTTAAACTGAAAAATATCACAATGTTTGATGTATAAATAAAGCTGTTATTAGAGGAAAATTTAGAGCCTTAAATGTTGATCCTTGAACAACATGGGGTTTGGAACCTGACCTTCCTTACAGTGTAAAATTTGTGGATAGCTTTACAGTTGGCTTTCTGTGTCCACAGTTTTGGATCTGTAGATTTAACCAATCACACTCATGTAGTACTGTACTATGTACATATTGAGAAAAACAGGTGTAAGTGGACTCTCGCAGTTCGAGCCTGTATTCTTCAAGGGTTGACTGTATTAGAATAAAGGAAAAGCACAAAAGCCCACTATTTTTTTTCTTTTGTAAGAAATTAGAACAGTGAACTAAATCTATAGATAGTAGAATGAAGAAGATATTGAAGAAGATACTAAACATTCATAAGTTAGAAGACAAGCATAAGAGAGAATCAACACAACTTTTATTTGAAAATGTTAATAAAATTGATAAAACCTTGGCAAAAGTGATCATGAAAAATATTGAAGGCTCAAATAATTATTATCAGAAATGAAAAAAGAGCATCAGTGATGATCCTATAGACATTGCAATGAGATGTGAGCAACTTTGTTCGTCAGCTTGGGCTGCCATAATGAAATACCATAGACTGGATGGCTTAAACAACAGGAATTTATTTCTCACAGTTCTGGAAGTTGGGAATTCCAAGATAAAGGTGCTAGCTGATTCATTTTCCAGATAAGGGCTCTCTTCTGGGCTTGCAGAGAGCTACCTGCTTGCTGAATCCTCGCATGGATGTGAGAGTAAGGTTCTGTTGTCTTTTCCTCTTTTTTATAAAGGCACTAATCCCATCATGTGGACTTCACCCTATGAGATGATCTTCACTTCATGATCTCATCTAAACCTAATTACCTCCCAAGGACCCTACTTCCTAATACCATCACATTGGGGGGTTAAAAGCTTCAACATGAATTTTGGGGGAACAGAAACATTCAGTCCATAGCTTTATGCTAATAGACTTAAATTTAGGTTAAATGAACACATTCATAGGCAAATACAACTAGGAAAAGTTGTTCATCCATTTAAGATATTGAATCTAATTAAAAACGCTACCACAAAGACAGTTGGCTTTTACCAGTGAATTTTACAAAAACATTGAAAAGAAGAAATAACACCAGTCATACACATTTCTTCAGAAAATAGAAAAAGAGAGAACTTTCCAACCCATTACATGAAGGCAGTGTAAATGTTTAATAAACCTCTGACAAGGACCTTATAAGAATAAAATTACAGGCTAATTTTTATCATGAACATAGAAGCAAAATTCTAAAGTTTGCATTATCAGATTAAAAAATTATGATTTGGAAAAAAGGAAATAAAATTTTGTTCACAATTGACATGTTTGTATATATAAAAAATTTGAAATAACTTGTAAACCCTTAGAATTTATAAGTGAATTTAGCAGTTACTAAATGCAAAGACTATAGAAATCTTAAGATATTTTTGTACATCAACAAGTAGAAAATGCAACTAAAGATATTATTTACAATAGCATCAATAATGTTTTTTAGAAATTTAACAAAAGTTGCAAAAAGACTCTACACTGGAGACTGTAAAACACTGAGAAAAATTAAGGAAGATCTCAATAAATAGAGGAATATATTATGTTTATAATTGAAAGGCTTGTGATTTTAAAGATGTCATTTTTGTCTAAAAAGCAGGTGAGGGACTTGCCTGGCTGTCCAGTGGTTAGGACTCCGCGCTTCCACTGCAGGGGGCCCCGGTTCCATCCCTTAATAGGGGAACTAAGGTCCCTCAAGCCTCACACATGACCAAAATACTTAAAAGTAAATAAATAAATAAATAGCAGGTGATTTTGTGCAAATTTATTGTAAAATTTATATGGTAATGCAAAGATTCCCGAACAAAAAGCTATTTAGAACAGCTGACACGTGGCAAAAAATTAATGCCAAATTGATTTTGAGTTACTTCATTTTATTTATACAGTTGATCTTTGGACAACATGGGTGTTAGAGGCACTGACCCTCACAAAATTGAAAATCCACATATAATTTATAGTCAGCTCTCCCTATCTGTGGGTTTAACCAACTGAGGATCATATAGCACTGTACTATTTCCTATTGGAAAAAATCTGTGTATAAGTGGACACTTTGCAATTCAAACCCATGTTCAAGGGCTAACTGTATCTCAGTTTTGGAGGGGGATAATGTCCGTTTTAATTTATTGTTGATTTACATTTGATAGAGTTTGGAATTCTATAAAGGATATATGATGAAACAAGGAAGGGAAATCTGTATATGTTGTGTTTTGTTTTAAAAAGTATTGTTTATGCATTAGATTATAAATTAGTCAGAATTATTGTGGTGCCATCATATTATATATGTAGTAAATTACTTTGTACTTACACAGTAAATTTTTTATTATAATGTTTTTGGTGTATGTGAAAGAAGCATTTGGAAATGTAACTGGATTTTTGCTAGGACATTACAAAGTCCAAATTTCTCCAAATATTTAAGAGAATACAATACATACATTTGAATTAACTTGGTTTTCAAAAGCTACTGCTCGTACTATAGTTACATCTAAAGCTTTCAGGACACTCTAGGTATTCAGGAAAGCATGGGACCTTCATGTTCTGGCTTCACTGAGTATACCACTTCATAGCTCACTGCTAAATCATTCAATGATTTTTTGAGTACTTATCTTGTCTCTTGTCACAATAAGTTTATGCTTGTACCCTTTCTACCCCAATACATTAAATTTTTTAAAAATCTTGTTTCTCTTAATCACTTTCAAAGCCTCTTGGCTCTACTAAGCAAAGTTTACCTTTCAAGAGTGAGCTCCTAGCTCATTTTAGCATAAAGATTTATTTAATCTTGTCAACCAATTTCCCTTTCTAATCACAGTGATGTTCCATAGCAGTTAATATCTGTACCCTCCATTTGTGTTCTTAATTATATTTAATTTTATTAGGCTTGTGTGACTTAAAATTATGGACATTTTCAAGTTGGTAGGAACCTGAATCTGTCACATAGATTCACAATAATATTGTTTGCAGGGTCATCATGAGACATAGTGTGAATATCGGGTATGGCTCTTGGAACATATACTATTATTGTTAAGTGGGAGGTAGGTAGTAACAGGAATACCATTAACTGGTGACATTATTGTTTTAAATGTTTTGGACTTCCCTGGTGGTCCAGTGGTTAAGACTCCACACCTCCACACTTCCAATGCAGGGACATGGGTTTGATCCATGGTTGGGAAACTAAGATCCCACATGCCGTGTGGCAAGGCCAAACAAACCAAAGCAAACCAAAACAAAAATCTCTCTTAGAGTTAATAAAACAGCTATGATTTATTGAAAAAGAAAAAAAAGTTTGGTTCTCCCCAGCTTTTTTTTGAAGAATCATTAACTCTTGCTAGAATAGTGTTTCTAGAGAGCCTGTTATGTGGAGTTGCCAGTGTAAGAAGCAGCTAGGTCCTAAGTTAAACTCACGTTTGGTTTGGGACTCCTATTTAAAAGTAGACTTAAAAAAAAATCCATGACATAATACCATGAAATGTGTTCTTAACTGGCAGCAGTATAGCCATTTCTTAGTATTTTAGATCTGTTTACTTTAAAGGAGGACTGCACGTATTTGGGGAGAGTGCATCCAGGGTTTACAGAGGTGAATATCACTATGTCATACAGCTTATGATTTTAAATTATATCATCTCAAGCCTTCCAGATTCGAAGAAAATCTATTTTTGATTATTTTCACTTGTTGTGGTAATAGTTAAACAGGCAGGAATTTAATTGAATTGACTGGAATGGCAAGGAAAATGCTGTGCATAGCCAGGGCACCAGGTGGCACAGTGAGCTGTACGCAGGAGACGTCTTATGGCCTGACCAGAGGATCTGCCTGGGAGATGGGATTCAATCAGATTCTGGGAGATTCCTTGTAAATGTGGAAGGATTGAATTCTTGAGCCAAGTAGCTGTCCTCTGCAGTTACTCTCTTCAAATATATCCAAAGATCCTTATTTCTGTTGCTTACATGATGTCCTGTTTACCCACCCACAAAATGTTAAAGACATAGATTTACTGACTTGAGTCCAGGACATCTCTGTGCAGTCCAAGTCACTCCACTTGGCCTAAAGCCCACACCTCCCTATTCTTGTTCAAGAGTTAAGAACAGCGGGTTAGTATAGGTTTCAGCATACTAGGGCTTTGTTCCATATTCTGTTTGAAACAATATTATTTTTCTTTTTTATCTCAGAAAGAATTTCACAACAAATTTGTGTAGTTATGGACACAAAAGAAGATGAGGAACATGTAGGTCATCGTCTTGAAGAAATGCTAAAAAATGAATTAAATGTAAGTATTCAAAGATCCAGTTTGATAAAATACATTTGATTGCCACAGATTTTTATCATACAAAGATGCTTTCCTTGACAAGGCATAAAAGTACTTTCAAGCTAATTTTCGTATTTTGCTGTAATGAAATCCTGTGTTTTGCCATCACTTTTGACTTGAAATACAATTAGTTTCCCTTCTCCACTCCTCTTCTGGATTTCCTCCCCACCTTCATTCTCCGAGTTCTATTTCTCCTTTAAAATTCAGCATCAGTGTGACTTCTTTAGAAAGCCCCCCACCCCCACCCCGCCCCGGTGCACATGAGCCCCTGCGTGAGGTTGACACTTGTCTTGAGAATCACAGTGCCCAGCACATGCTAGATGCTTACTAAAGTTTGTTGAATACATGAAGAAAAGAAAGAGATTAAGAAGAGAGAGAAAGAAAAGAGAGAAGCAGATATGCAAAAGATAGCATAATTATGATATTGAAGAAGTGAATGGATGTTTCTTGCCCCCCCCCCCTTTTGGAACTGATCAAGGTCCAGGTTAACCTCATATTTAATATTAGGGTGAAGGAAATGCAAGAAGTAGCCGTGAGTGTGAAGCGGTGTATAGGAATTATTTACTACTTTTACCCCTAAGGACATCCATTATTTTTGTGACAGTTTTGTGCTTTGAAATGTTTTGCTTGCCAAGGTGATTTTATTGTTTTCATCAGTTTCCTTGTTTTCGTTAAAATGTGTAACTGCCTGGGTTTATGATCAACATGTCATGGCTTTTTAACAACATACATAATTCTAGTTGAAAGCAAAAGGAAAAAGTTTATTTTAGTAAGCTAGTTCCATCATGATAGCACAGTCAGTAAAGAGAACAGGCTCTGGTATCAGATTGCCAGTACTCAGATGTCTGTTTTATTGCCTCATTTCCTTATCTTAAATTGAAAATGTTAATAACATCTGCACTGTAAAGTTGTTGGGACAACTGAACTTTAAAAATATATTTTAATGTGCTTAGAAAAGCATCTGCCATACTGTAAGTTTTCAACAAATATGAACTATAAGAGACTTAACAATGACGTCTATTAACATCTCAACCCATCAGTTGAGATGAAGGTGTGATAGTATTAAGCAGTAGATACTACGAGCTCCCAAATTTCTGTCCTGTATTAAATACATGAACTGTTAAATACATAGATTCCTGGAATGTGTAAATATTTAGTGAATCATCTGGGATAAGTTCTGGAATTTCAGTTTTTAACAAGCTCCCCGTGGTCGTTTTGATGGCAGTCAGTGCTAAATTCTACCAGTAGCATTTGGAGCAACAATCTAAAACTGGAAAGAAATGGCAGCCACCTCAGCTGTCTGTTGGGTGTAAAGGTTATACTTCAATCTTCTTTTCCAAGTTGTCTTTATTCGTAGACTTTCTGAGTATTCCTCCTCTGTTGCTGGAAGTTTTAGCACCTTGTTCTTTGCTTTCTATCTCAAATTCACCTGTTAAGAATCTGTTCCTAAGTTCTGTGCCCTAATTTCTCTGCTGCACCCTGCAGGATATTTAAGTGTACATAACTTCCCATTATCTGACCTCGTGAGGCAGCGTTTTTGCCTGAAAAATAGTCTTCTACTCTTGGATAATTTCATTCATGCTTTATCCATTCAGTGCAGAAGCCAATAAGATGGAATCCTGAAAGAGTGTTACTGGGACTTGGGCTATCAACCCTAGGTTTAGAGAGCTGGGTTCTACACTCTTGTTGAGCATCCAACTGATGCATCCTGTGTCACTCATTCCTTGGTCTTCCCAGTGTTAGATTCTACAAAGAGTCCTTTTTGTTACAATTATTATGATAGTCTCTTTTTGTTGCTACTTTTCCTGTATATGTTTGGTAATTATTGATCTAAATCAAATAGACTGCCAGATATTTCTTCAGCAAAGATAGGTTTCTTCAGGATAAACAGACAATTGAAATTTGGGGTCTGCAAACATGACAAGCCGCATGCAAGTCCCCCCATAGCAAGGGAAGGACACTTTTATAGAAGGAGCAAGGAAGTTGGGAGGGCTAGAGTAAATAGACAGCCTGTGGTTTCTATTTGCTGAGTCCTTGCCAGGAGAGAAGAGGACTGCTTCTTCTTGTTGGGCTCAGCTGTAGTCGCAGGGTGTGAGGGCTCCCCCTTCTGGTCTCCCAACTCTGATTTAAGAGAGAAATTTGTTTATTCATTGTTCTGTGTGTTTTTTTCTAATTTTTATTAGAGTATAGTTGATTTACAATGTTGTGTTACTTTCTGCTGTACAGCAAAGCGAATCAGTTAGACATATATCCACTCGTTTTTAGATTCTTTTCCCATATAGGCCATTACAGAGTATTGAGTAGAGTTCCCTGTGCTATACAATAGGTCCTTATTAGTTATCCATTTTATATATAGTCGTGTGTATATGTCAGTCCCAATCTCCCAATTTATCCCCCCCCTTTCCTCCTTGGTAACTATAAGTTCGTTTTCTGCATCTGTGACTCTATTTCTGTTTTGTAAATAAGTTCATTTGTACCATTTTTAAAGATTCCACATATAAGCGATATCATATGATATTTGTCTTTCTCTGTCTGACGTACTTCACTCAGTATGACAATCTTGAGGTCCATCCACGTCGCTGCAAATGGCATTATTTCATTCTTTTTTATGGCTGAGTAGTATTCCATTATATATGTGTATATGACATCTTTTTAATCCATTCATCTGTTGATGGACATTTAGGTTGCTTTCGTGTCCTGGCTGTTGTATGTAGTGCTGCAATGATACATTGGGTCCATGTATGTTTTCAAATCATTGTTTAAATAATGATATGGAATTTAGGGGGTACACAGAATGGTGTGTAACTGGCGCTGTGTGATTTTTTTTTTTCAGTGCCTTCGCTTCTCAGGTCCTGTCCTTCTCATTTCCAGTGTCCGTTGTTTTCAGTGCACTTCATCTACCTACCTGTTGGGCCCAGTCTGGATATAGCCATTATCTTAACTGTGCTGAAAAATAAATACTAAGGCTATTTCTTAACTTCTGACCACAATATTTTACCTTTCCTTATCTTACACTAAATTACTCTAACTGCACATATTTAAATTTTACAGGAAACTCTAATCCCACTGTCTTCTCTCTTTCAGGTACCTGTTGTTTCACACTTTACTTCAATACCATGACCCATCACTTGAGTGGATCATGGATCTTTTACCAGTATCTTTCATTCCCGTGTCCTTCTGTTAAACCCAGTTAATAAAACCTCATTCATGTTATCAGTCTAACTTTTCACTTCTCTGAGCCTGGATTCAGTCCTAACACTGCTGGAGAGAAGCATACAGCAGTGTAGATCATTGGACTTTAAAAATACTGGCCTTTGTTCTTCATGGGGCCCTGAATGTTGTAAAGCAAGCATACCGTGATTCCACTGTGAGCTCCCCATTCTCCTCAGTGGAGATTTTAAACCTTTTCCTTTCTCCTTAAATGTCTAACCCAGGTTTCTTAACCTTGGCACTATTGGCATTTTGGACTAGATATTGTGAGGGACTGTCCTGTGCCTTGGACACTGTTTAGCAGCATCCCAATCTTCTACCCACTAGATGACAGTATTATACCCCCTAGTTGTAGCAAACAAAATGTCTCCAGACATTGCTAAATGTTGCCTGGAGCGGGGACAAAATCATCCTCTGGTTGAGAACCACTGGTCTAACCCCACCATCTTTACCTCCACTCTGAAATATGGTCTTATCTCTAACTTCAGAGTATAATTATATACTCCAATATGGGAACATTCCTATCTTCCAAGCCCCAACCTTTAAAGAATCTTGCATCTGTAGCCATCTTCTCATTGAGACTATTTCCTCTCCTGAGCTCTGGTTCTCTTCCCCCCTTCCCCCTCCCCCATGAACAGATACATGTTGCTTCCATTAAAACAAAAACAAAGAAACAGTTCTAAACCCAAGGTTACCCTGTAGCCAAACTTCTTTAACATAATTTATCTTCTCATTCCTCAATTCACTGCATTTTGACTTCTGCTGCAACCTTCTGTAGGAAGTGCTCTCGGTGAAGTCCTCAGTGACCTTCCTATGGGAAATCCACAAGACATTTATCAGTCTTACCTTATTTATTGCACCACTTGACTCTCTTGTCTGATGCTATTTTTTCTAGAAGGAGTCATCCAGTAGATTCTGTAACATCTTGTTTTTCTTTTATCCTTTTTCATTTTTGGCTGCTGCTTCTAAGTTTCTTTTGCAGGATTCAAGATTCTATTGATGATATTTAGATTTTTGTACATAGGTAATTGGACGTCTTTAAAAAAAATGCTGATGGCTTCCAGTATCCTTCATTTGCTAGGGACACAAAATATTCTCTAGCCCCGTGTTTAATTATTCATTTTTCTGCATTTCAGATCTGTATATTCAGTCAGAGGTCCCTTAAATGTCGATGATGTCGATGATATTTCACATTCACAAATTCTTTTTCCAGCCAGTCCTTCTCCATCTGCTAAGGTTTCAGTCTGTGAAAATGCATATCATTTCCTCATTCTCTAAACCTCGTATAAAGTTTGACTCATTCTCTATCTCACTTCCAAAGCAAATCAAGTTCCAAAACATTTGAATTCTACCTCTCATTATCCTTCATATGTGTCCTTTTATCTTCATTGCCACTGTCCTAGGCACCCCAGCTGTTGTCTGGATTATTGCAACAGCCTGTTAACTGACCTCCAGCCTTCAATTTTGCCCCTCTCAGATTTATTCTTTATGGGGCTGTTTGAATGATTTTTCTAAATTGTTTATCATGTTATTCCCTATTCAAATCTGTTTCTTGGTTTTCCACTGCTTCTAAATTAATATAAAAATTCCTTGCTATGTCTCATAAGATCTCTCACATGACTAATACTACTAATAAAAATAACAATAATAACAGCCAATGGTTTTCAGCACTTATTTTATGCTAGGTACCATAGCAAGTGCTCTTAACAACCTTTTGAAATGGGTACTGTTAATGTTTTTTTTCCAGATGA